AGAGATTAAATGGAATGGCATTTCTATTTCAAATCATGGGTTAATTTTTCCTTTTGACGTCAATATTTCTCAGATACGTAAGTAGTAGAGCAAAGGCTTTATTCGTGTTTCTGATGGTTGTTGACTTCTTTGAATAGCTGTAAATCAAAAAAAGAAACCCAGTGGGTTTGATCCATTTTATTCCCTTTCCCCAAAAGGTGTCTGGTGATTACGACTTACTTCAGTGGAGCTTGTGAATGCTGGACATGCTGCTGAAATATTGACTTATTAAATATTAATTTATTTGTCACTGATTATTTCATGTTGTGTGCACATTTTCTCAGCAGTATCATTTCTTACAACGTTTTTAGAAGGGGATCTACTATATAGCCTGGGAAAAAATATTTGTTCTGAAGAACTGAAAATGTGCACATAATCTACTCAAAGTCAAATTTCTGTTTATATAGAAGTGAAAAGACTTGTATTAAACTCTTTTCCTCTTTACTAATATCCTGATTTGATTGGAGAGCACAGTGTCTTTGTCCAGGTCATTTAAAAAGAAAAATACCTTTCTGAGAGGTGTCTGTCAGCATGAAGGCAGTTTTACAGCCTTCGTGTATGGAGCCTGAATTAAGTAACATAGAATCCAAACTCACTCCACCTCCACTGCTTGGCTTTGGTGCTGGCAGTGGGTTTCAGTTAGTTGAGCAGTTGGGGAGAAGGGCAGTGAGGGGCTGGAGCAGCTCCAGCAAGGGCAAATCAGCAATGCACACAGTGAGGCTGGTTGTGCTGAGCGCTTGCTCAGTTCCTTTTATTAAGAGGTAATTTATTTATAAAGCTGGAAATGGAGCACATGCTGCCTACTTCTTAACAAATAGCTGCATCATGCTATATAGTAGGTTCAAGTTGTACCGTTTTTCATAATAAACTGCAATCCTTCTTTTTGAGTTTCGGATTAATGTTTGGCAGCACTCTTCCTTTTCACCAGTCAGGTGCTGTTGGTGGCTGAGATGTGATTAGAATTTAGAAAAATTAAGGCATCTGATGTGATGAAAGGGAAAGTGATGTGCTGTGGTGTATGTGCTGGCCTTTCACCTCTGGACACCAAACCCCCATTGCACTGCTAATCAGTGACAGTCTTGGCCTAATAAATCACATTTTTATCCACACCCACCCACCCTCACCCAAAACCAAACAACCAAATTAAAAAGAAGCCACCAAACAACATGGCACAAAACAGTTTCTGCTCAGGAAAAAGGCCCAGGACTGTAATAGCAGGGTTATTGCACATTGGGTTGAAAACCGATTGATGTTGTAAGTAGAAGCCGGTAGTGCCTGCCTGTGTGACATCTGACTCTTAACAGTGCTCTGATTTCCTCACCGTGAGCACTTGTGCACAGCAGCTGAAATATATATATATATATATATTTAAAAAAACACTTAAGAGTGATGCAGGTCTATGCATTGGATAATATGGGTATATAAGCAAACAGCATAAAAATAGACAAGGTAGCTAACTGTACTTGTGTTTGTTTTCACAGAAAGTATTGCAGCCATTTTGTTTGAAACCAGATTTTCATTTTGAAATGAAATTGTCAGGGATATTCTAATGATAGAGAATTACAGTAATGTATTGCTTTTCACTTTTTTTGCTTTAGTTGCTTAATATTTAAGCTTTGCTCCGTGCTACCTTCTTGTCTGTATATTGAATGGTCACTATGCCTCTTTCATTTTGTAGACTTGAATGAGGAAAACGATTCATCCTTTAAGGTTTGCTGAGAAGTAAATGATAAAGAATGTTGTGTAACATTTATTCAAATAAAGCCTTGATTTTTTTCAGTGCTCTTTTAAAGGGAAATAATGTTGAATAACGTTTTCATATTGTAGCTTCCTTGTTTTATTAGTCTTTGGCCCAAAAGATTTCTATTTATTTATTTATTTCTGAATTAAAGATTAAACTGAGTTTATTTGTCCGCTGCTGGAAGTGAGTCATCAGGACAAGTCTCTCTCCAGGCTTATATTTCACAATGGTGAAAGATGTCAAGGTGTGCTCAGCCAGCTTGCCACAGGAGATGGGGAAAAGCTTTTCTTTTGCTTGTTGGTAATTAAGAAGATGAGATTAGCTGTGCTTTATAGAGCTAGATTCACCAGTGAACCTCGATGGCCCAGTTTCATGGTTGCGATGGAGGCACCCAGCCCTGCTGAAGGAGGCCCCGGTGAGAGGCTGCAGCCCTCCAGCCGTGCTTCTAGGTGGGCAAGGATCATTGGTGGGAGCCACAGAGCTCCCGGCCAGCACAGCCCAGTGGGGCACAAAGCAGCAGCGGCACAGGATGCGCTGGGTACCCACACCCCACCTGCTCACCTTTCTGTGGCAGTACTGACGGCTTCAGACAAGTTGTCTGCAGCAGGTAAGTGCAGTGAGGAATTCATTCCTCTGTTTGGGTGAGAAACGCGCCGTGCTGAGTGGCTCTGTCCCACTGTGGTGCCCTGAAGGAGGAGCAGGTTGTGTGGTACCGGCTGCCCTGTGTGACGCCAGGTGTTTTGTTATTGACCCATCGCCAGTTGTTAAGGCTTTCTCCAAAACGGAGTAGTTAACTTCTGGATGGAGCGGCCGTGCACGTGAATGCCACCTGCAGTGCTGCCGCCCTGGTGTGGGGCCTCCGTGAGGCTTTTGGGTCAGCCTGTGCCTCCTGTAACCAGCAGGTCTCCACCACTGGCCGTCGCTCGGAGCGCAGCCCCTGCGTGGTTTTCTTCGCCTTCACAGAGTTGTTTCTTATTCTGCCCGGATTACAGGAACTCCCATCCCCTTTCTCTCATTATTCTTTCATTCTTGCAGCAGTTCCTCTTGAATTGGTTATCCTCATTAGGGGTCGGTGGAGAGGGGAAATCCTGCTGAAATGTAATTGCTCACTAATGGCTTTTCCTTTGTGGCATTGTGTCGGGAGCTTTCCCTGTGGGAGCGCTGGATTCGCTGCATGGCTGTGAAACCCACAGGAGAGGTTGGCCATACAGGTTTCAGAGGTCTGCAATTACTCCACTGATTAATCTTCACTCCAGCGGTTTGGTGATGAAAGTATAAAAGTAAGCCAACCTTCAGCAGTGAAGCCAATCCTGCACAATGCCACTCTGTAATAATGTTTACTGCATCTCCGAAGCATCAAAAGGGGAATACTTAATGAGAGCAGAAGTGCTCGTGACGTGCCAGCTGAAATGAGAGGGATTGGAATGGAGAAACAAGATTTCTTATAGGGTGAGACCAATGCACAGACTTCTGAAGGAAATCAGGCATATTGCTAACAGAGAGGTGGGGTGGTCAGTTCAGATGCTGTCACATACTCGTTATTTTTAAATGTGATGTGATGAAGAGCACAGAAGATGGTTAACTGCCCACGGCCGCTTTGGTAGTGAAGGAAATGGCAGCATCTCACATTACCTTTGTGCTCCTCATTGATGAGCTGGACTCATTTCCCTGTCTGACAGCATCCTCTGGGGATACTGAGAGCGTAAGGGGCTGCTGAGATTTGCATGGCGATGCCCTTTTCCTGCTTTTGCACTTTCAGAAAGGTTGGGAATGCAAGAAGGTTGCATACAAGGCTGGTGTCGTTGTGCCTCACGTGGAGATCTGACCCACCCTGTAAGGAAGTTCATCCTCCTGCTCTCCCAGTGGCACAGCAGTACTTGCACTGCCATGTGCTGGTTGTAAAAGCGGTGCAATGACACAGCAGCAGTGCGTGCAGCCCTCTGAGAGCCACAGGAATGGTGACCTGCCCTTGGCATCAAGGGGCACCCGCTGTCTTCATTTCTGCTCTCGTTCACTTGTCCACGCTCAAGTCATTGGATGTGGATTTGTCATTCTCCCTCTTTGTTACAGGAAAGCTCTGGCAGGCTCAGCACATATAGATGGCCTTAGAAAAAGGGTTGGGTTATTTCCTGATTGGTACGGTGCTGGCAGGTTGTTGTTTGCATTCTGCAGCCTGGCTTTATGGTTCTGTTCATGTTTTTCCCTTGAGTGTTTCAGTAGTGTTTGTTTTTATTTACCCACTGGGTTTGGAGCTCAAGCCATGTGTGCTCAGGGCCAGGCAGGCTGTGACCCATGTGTCAGCTTTGGGCTGTTTGGGATTTCAGGTAAATATTCAAAGCTAACGAGGGGCAGTTCTAACTCTGAAATCCAGACTTTCAGCTAAAAGCTCTGAATCTTCAGAGCTCAGAGGCACAAATTTCCAAATGTAGTCCTCTTGGTCATTAAATATTAAAGGCAGGCTGTGCCTGCTCCCGGGCTCATTCAAATATTAAAGTTCTCTGAGCCACTGGAGAAAGTGGCTGGGGCTGGGGATCCAGAATGCAGACGGAAGAGCATCAGCCCGTGCTTACGATGAGGCCTCTGAATTACTAATACAGTACAGCTGGAGATGGTTAACCTTCTCCTGAGTCACTCTGTTGTCTGTTTGTCTTTTCAAAGAGAACGCTGCAAATAAGCTGGGAGAACAAGGGCTGCTGTATGTACATCACGTATGTTTTCCTTAATATGGTAAAATTATAGCAGAGCCACTGGTTGCGTCTTGGCTTAGTAAACTTGCTGCTGGTTGCACGTATCAGTGCCTCTGCTGTGTTTGAGCTCCTGCAGGGCACCTGCAGGTCCGTGTGGCCGCAGAGAGCTGCCATGTAACAGGCAGGGGCGGCAGTGCGTTTGCTCGCAGCCTCCTCTTCCCAGAGCTACCAGATTCTGCCTTTCCTCTTTTCTCAGACAGAAAAGTGCCCCAAGATGGCAGGCTGTGTCAGACGAGCTAAACGTGTCAGTTCTTGAGATAAAGACAGATGCAATTGCTGGATGCAATTATTCCAGCAGAGCCCAGCCGCGCTGCTGCCTCTCCAGGGGCCTGTTTTATGGCTGGCACATGCCACCTGGGAACACATTTAGGCCATTCCAGCCACCTCCTGCAGCACAGGGCCCCTGGTCCCTGCAGCAATGCTGGGGATATGGTCAGTGTGGGCAGCGATGCAAAGGACAGGGGGGTGAACAGGTTGGGCTTGGAAAGGAGAGCTGTTGGTGTTGTTTCTGTGCCAGGAGGGCTGATCTGAGAATGGTTTTCTTGTGAGCCAGCTGCTGAGCAGCAGGCAGGTATGGGGAATCCTGGCTCCAGGCTGGAGACATAGCTGCAAATGGTGATGCCTCCAGCCAGGAGGATCGCCACTGAACATGCAGAATCAGAAAAATGTGGTTACTGTTTTTTGGCTGGTTTAGGACATTTCATCTATATAGGACTTTCCTCTGTCAGGGTAGGCTGCGATGACTCTGGCTTAATGCCACAGCAGCCGAGAGCCTGGCAATTTACTGTGCCTCAGCAGAATGTTTCTTTGACAAGCGGCTAACCAGAGCCTCTGCTGATGAAAGATCCCCCAGCAATTGCTTCCTTTCACACAAGAGGCTGTGCAGGTTTAGAAAAAAAACTAAGCAGCTGAACAAGAAAATGCTGGGATTCTTCCAAACAGGGAAAGCTTGCGAATGAGCAATGTATTAATGCACATTAAATGTGCCTGTACACATCTGTACCTACACTTAAAGAGGTGGTACTGGGATATAATTGGTTCTTGGCTGCAGCAGCCGGCAACAGCTCCTGGCTGCTGCAGTAATCCCTTAGGAACAGCACAGCTCATTAAAGCACAGGAGCTGGTGACCAGAGGCTTCTCCTTTTTGTGCAGCTGTGTCTGCTCTCATCAGGGGTAGGTGGGTCTGAAAGAAAGTGATGAAATGCACTAATCAGGGAGGGAAGGGTTCAACTTCAAAGCTTGGTGCTTTACCAAATCCCAAATATTCTGGTGTGAGGAGCTGGGAGCGGTTTCATATTCCTGCTTACTGACTGGGAGGAGATCAGCAGCACTGCAGTTACAGTAAGTCATGGATTATGTTAGTCCCAAGGCCTCTTCTGTGCTGGAGGGTGTTGTCTCCTGCTTAAACTGGTGTTTTGAAAGGCAGATCTTATGATACAAATTGAGACAGTGCCAACTCTGAACTCTGTGCAGGTCTGACACAGGAGCTGGAGCTGATGTGAGTGCTGGCAGAAGAAGAGAGGATGAAGACAGCACTCCTGGGTATCCCACTCCCATCACACGTGAAGGCATAGAGGTAACAGATGTGATATAATCTGAAATTTACTCTTACAATTAAATGCAGATTATGGACAGGAGAACACTCAAAGGTTCCTTGATCTTATTTCTAATATTCCTGCACAATAAGAAAGTTGGCACGTCCTCACAAATGATAAAGATAGAAGCTTTAGCACACGGTGATGTACTGGAATGACTTAAATGATCAGACTGGCAATTATTTGCTATTACCTATTCAGGAAGGGTAGAAATGGAGATACAGCAGCAATTTTAGATACCACAGACTGAAGAGGCGACTGAGCACAGCCACTGGCTGTGCTGGTAAAGCCCCAGAAACGCTACTTACGGCATCACCAGCAAATGAATGAACTGCTTTCTAAGTGGCCTTGTAATGAAAAGCTGAAGTGCTGAAGATGTGCTGAGCACTCAATTTTTTATATTTATTCCTAAAGGGCTTTCTGGTACGAGGTCCTGGCTCTGCTGCTTTGGATGGCTGTAATATCTAGAGCAGCTTGTTCAACCTTTTGGCTTGCCTGGGCCACACTTGTTCCCAGGGCTGAGTTCAGCCATTGTACCAAAATGCATGAAATTATTTGCCATAACTGCAGCTTGCCATAATTAAGTTTCATTTTGAGTGCTGTCACGAGTCAAAATATAGCGCAGAAAAGTTAAATTTCACTCTGAGGAGACACGTTTAACTCAATTAAAAGAGTAGTGAAATCCACCACAAATGCTAAATCCATGAGCCATTTTTCATCCACGAGTTCTGGCACAAATTTTCCTTTTGATCCCATAAATGACCTGATTTCACTTCACAACTTGTAAAAATTTTTGTAGCATTTCACTCTTAGTCACCTCTCTTCAGAAAAGTAAATGATGTCCCCATAATCAGCATCAGCTTAAGGAACATCTGCAATTGGTGATGATTGAATCCCTCAGACTTGATGAAATTCACAGCTTTGATGAAGGTTCACATGACATTATCCATTTTTAAAGCTTTCATACAGGCATGTTCTTGATGTATGATGCTGTGAGATTTCATCAAACATGAGTTGCTGGCAGCAATTGCATCTTCTATTAATTTTGTAAGTCCCTCTTTTTAACCAGCCATTGCTGGGGCCCCATCAATTGCTGTAACAGATCTGCTGACAAAGGCTGAAGAAAATTGCTTTAATGTAATTTTTACTGCTTCATAAAAATCAAGAGATGTAGTTGTGTTTTTTTCAATGGCATCAAAGAAGCCATTTCTCCAGTATTATTTGCTGTCAATACCTCTAATAAAAATGGCCAGTTGAGCCATAGCTGTAGCATCAGTAATTTCGAACAACACCGAAGCATGAACTTTGAAATCAGCAGCTTTACCCTCAAGACTTCTTTCATTACATTTTCCCATTTCTTCAGTTTGCCTGAAGTTGTTTGGTGAGACAAGCTGAAAACTGTTTTGTTTGTCCACAACAAGAACTCATCTGCCATGTTCCACCAAACACTCTTCAACCCTCTTCCTTCATCCACAGCTTTTCTCTTCTTGGGGTTCTGTTTCTTTTGAGACGACACTGGGTTGAAATACTGTCTGCAATCTCTACTCACACCAAGCGGCACAGGAACATGCCATGTGTAAGCAGGGTCTCAGTAGAGAAGAATTAATAGAAAAGAGGCAATTAAAATCCATCAAAAATAGATCTTGTCATTCAACAACTCTCAGCTAATCTAATAATGAAGATACATCACCTAGCACTGCACTCTACAATATATGTAACATTTGTAGGGAAATATCTACAACATAAAATAAACGTTGCACACATGAATTAAGGTCTGTCTCTCTGGCAGACCTCAGTTTGCCACTGTCCTTGCAGTGGGGATGCTTCCTGTGAGACCCTGCTCAAACCTCAGCTAGTTCTCATACTACTCAACACTTCCATCTGTCAGTGAGAAACAAACCTGAAGTCACTCCTGAAAACCCTGGTAAGCAGCAGCATGGTGGGAAGTCATACCAAACAACGCATTTTTTGTCAAGCTAGACCAAAGGAAACATGACTGAACTCTGCATTTAGCTGCAATAATGCAAGCACGAACAACTCACCCACAGCTGCAGGAAAATGGGGGTCTGAGGAACCAGGTATTCCTTCCAGAAAAGGCTTAGGGGGTCAAAAACTTGGCACAGCTGTTGCCCAAAGGGCTAACAGTGTTTGAGCATATAAGCAAGAAAGAAGTAAGCAAGGATGTAATGCTTTCTATATAGAGTAGAAAAGAGACAAAACTCAGCATCAGTTCTGATGTCCCTTCTTAAATGACAAGGATAAAGGAAAGAGACAACTGATAAAGGAAAAACAAAGTCTGAAACACAAACATTACAGAAATCCTGGAGAAAATTATTTGTAGGGAAAGTCTTAAAGAAACCCTGTCTGTTCAGCTTACAGAGAAAATCAGCTGGCCCCTTCATTACTATGCAAACATGTTCAAGGAGAAAGTGCCAGGTACTAACAGCTTTTTATTTTTGCAGAGAAATGAGATGAAACAAAGGCTGGGAGCTGAGGAGAGACTACGCCAAGTGGAAACGAGGCATGTCTGTTGAAAACACAAGGGTGAGTAACTATTGGAACAAAACTCTAAGAGATGTTGTTGGCTTAGAGAATTTATATTTGAAAGATTGCTGCATAGAGCATTTTTTCCTATTAGAGGTTGTAAACCCAATGCATGTGACTCAAAACACCCTGGCAATAAGGGATCTGTGACCATTTACAACAGGAGGAAGTACCAATTACCTTTCTCTTGGCAGCTGTGATGACTAGTTTAGATATTAAAAAAAATCCCTTTTAAAATAAAAAGCCAAAAAAAAGAAAAGGCAGCTGCTTCAGGATGTGGACAATGCAAAAGAGCTTCCATCAGGCAATTAATTGGTGTTTTACCTGGAAAAAAACATGCAGTAATGTCAAATAACACAGTCCAGAGGTTTCTATTCTAGCCAGACAGCGGCACTTTGAGTAGGAATGACCTACAGATGAGTCCTCTCTAATGGTGTGCACAACTTACAGTGACATTAAGCTGTCTCTTTCACACAATGCAATTAAATTACAAACAAGGATGAAAAGCAAATCAGCTGCAATTCTTCAGCTCCATTTATTCTACCCTTCATTTTAAAACTACAGGTACACAGCAGGCATCCAGCAGGGAAGTTGCACAGCAGGTAGAAATATCACAAGTTTTGTTGTGCTTTGATTTTCCAGAGCAGGCTACCCAGCCTCTGCCCAAGAAGGTCTTTAAAGATAAGAATGGAACAGAATGGCAGGAAGAGCATTTGTCACCAAATTCATTTGTAAGACAAAGCAGCAAATCGTTAAATCACTGCCTGCAACTCCACGCGACAGCCATAAACCAGTAAACACAGAAGGCTGAGTAAAGGTAACAATTAATTGGCAATAATCAAGATACAAAGAAAAAATAAAGTACAGCATCCACAGTAGCTTCAAAGTGGTTTGATTTATGCGTGGTGTAGGGGTATGCATTGCAGTTGAGAGAAGGCTGGGATTCTGATCTAAGCTGCCTCACATTCAGTGATACAGGGCTGTTGCTAAACAAGACAAACCCCTGGATGCACTCCTTTGCTCAGGCCAGATGGTGAAATCCAAGTCAGTGGACTGCCTTGCTCCAGCTGAAGCCGTACTGCTGTGCTTCCAGGGCCAGACACTTCTTCAGTGTCAGGCAACATGGAACCTGCAACAGCAACAGTGGACATCTCTACCTGTCACGTGCTGACCTAGAAGCTTTAGCAAGGCATGATTCAGGCATTCCTGAGTGGCTTCTCAGTTTGGGCTCAAACCAAGCTTATGAGTTCCAGCTCAACAGAGCCTCTGCCCAGGGCTGCTTTGGAGCCTCTGCTCCTTAGTAGTCCAGGCTTCAGGTGAAATTAGTGAGATTTGTACCAGTCTCAGTACTCTGCTTCACCTAATAAGCCTTCTAAAGAGTCTAAAGAGCTCTCTTATGAAAGCAGAGTGCTGCACTTCTGAAAGCAGAGTTGCTAGCTCTGAGCCAGTTAATTAGCCTATGCAGCCTCTTGGGTGTGAGCAGACTTCTGTCCCAGTTCACTCCCTTATATCCTCACTGCACTGCCCAGCTAAGTTCAGCCCTCTGCCACTGGGAATGGAGGGGGTGAGTGAATGACTGCATGGCACTGAGCTCCCAGCTGGGTCAACCCACAGCACCAGGAGCAGCATCTTTCTTTAAAGCCTCCCATCCATACACCTACCAGTCTACCCAATTTTAGTACAGGAAATAAAATCTTGCACTTAGGAATTGTAGTCCAGTAAAACAAGACACGGTTACTGTTTCAGCACATGGAAATCCTAGAGGCTGAACGCTTTTGCTTAGTTAAGAGACATTTTAATTACATAGAAGATGTTAAAGGCAGCACAGTCCTTCTTGGCAATGACATTTTAATTCTCATAAATGTAACACAACCTCACTGCAGACATGGAATAATTTATAGACAGTTAACCACAAAGTCAAAACTAAAAATGCACCAGGACAGAGTGAAACAACAATCAAAAAACAAACAACAAACCCCAACCACTACACCTTTAAGTCTGCACTGGTAAAATGGAAGAAAAAGAAAGCACCAAGAAAGCTTAGCTTGAGAGTATTCCCTTCAGGCACATCACTGCAAAGACTGGAGCTCCAAACATGCAGCAAGTACAGTTTCAGTCTTTAAGTACACACAAAAAGATTTCTTGAAATAAATTTAAGATGACAACTAATAGCCAGAGAGCTACCAGTCATTATTTAATTAAATCACGTTTTGAAATCTGCGTGGAGACAACTGAAGAAGTCTGCCTCCAATGTAAACATTTCCACAACAATATGCAGTAATTACAAAAGATATTCATTCTCCAAAATCTGGATGAACTACTTGAAAACTACTTTTTTTTTTTTTATAGCTCTCTATAAATTAATGCTTCAGCATTCTCAAAGCCTGTTACATCACAAGAAACTTTCGCGATCAATTTTAATGTCAATTGTTGGCCATGATGGGGATCTGTAACATGAACAAGTCTCAGAGAAGCAGATTTCCCTAACTTTATATGACTTTCTAAGGTGTATACGTAACATCACACAACTTCTGTAGCATTTTCAAAAGAAAATAAATAAAAAATGAGAATAAATAAAAAGTAAACAAAGGGTAGCCTGAGGATAACGGACTGATGTTGCCATAAGCAAGAAGAAAAACCACCTCAAGTGCATCAAATTACTGTCTTGTCAGTATGTTATCTGTGGGTAGATGTCAGAATTTTGAACAACATTGCCACCATGGAAAGGATTCACACAAAGCAAAAACTTCACATTCAATCCAACAGAAATACTAAGCCTTTATTACCAAGAAAAATTATTCCACAGAGGAGGTCGGCTTGCTTCCACGCATGCTGTCAGTCACATCCACCTCCCGAATGTGGTGAAGTGCTTCTGCTAGACTCATTAATTCCCCAAGACACCATCTGGCTTTGTTCTTGGCCACAGGTGCACGGGCATTTTGATTCAACTGAACTGTTTGCTAGAATTTTCTTGCCAGCATTGAATGGGCCCAAATAATGTACCTGACTGGTGGACAAGCCAAATACTGCAAGTGGAGAATCACACACAGGACAGAGTTATCACTAAAAGAAGTCAAATGACTTTCTTTACATCCACATTGTAAATAATTTATAAGCAGGGAAATGAATGTGCTTGAGTCTATCTTCACTTGGACAGAGTGAAGAATGTTTGCTGAATCCTTGTGTTGGTACATGCAAGCACATGGTCACAAAGCCTGAAAGCCAGCAGAACTAAGCTGAATTCATGTTATCTATTGTTGTTTGGATTTTGAACAAAATTGATGGAATATGAGCCAGTTGATGAATCCTGTTTTATCTGGAAATTTTCTGTTGACAGGCCAAAGGGGCGGAGAACCAAATTCCCAAGATCTTTCAGTTTGCCTACAATGAAAAAGAAATACGTGAGTAGTAAGCAGAGGGAAAACTCCCACTGAATGATGCCCAACTACACACTCCAGCTCCACCAATTCATCTACTAATTCAAGGGAAATGCTGTGGAAATCTCTCCAGTTGGTTGAATATTTAGGCTTCTGTATGAACTAAAAAAATTCCAGTTGTGATGTAGCCAGTGTCAGCTCTGGAGCTGAAAGTAGATCAGTTCAGATTCTGATAGGTCTGTCAGGCAGCCCTGATGCAGTGGCTGCAGACACCATCTGGTTCTGGCTAACTAGCAGCTCTTTATTTCCTCACTCACAAGTGCTCCTTACACAGGACCTTAGCAGCTCACAGAAAAGAATTAGTCTCTGTTGTACTTGGATATAACTTTGATGCCTGCCAACATTCTGTTTTTTAACACATTTTTTTTTCAGTTCCTGCCACTTTGGTGCAGTTACAGTTCTGTAAACATTCAAGGATATTAGAACTGCCCAGTTTCCTGGACTGCCAACAGAAACAGGGAAAGCTAAAGTTCAAACTCTGCTCGCTCCTAATTATGACAGCTCTCTTTCTAGATTATGTATATTGATACAATGAACACTGAAAGAAATCCATCCATGCAAGTGTCTGCACCTTCTAACAAAGCAGTTCCATTTGAAGCATACAACTCTGTTACCATTTTTAGCATGACAGATGACATCCTGCCATCAGGAGCTCATGTTCAAAACTACAGTTCTCTGTAGCTAACTCATCCCTGCTAGGAATTCTAAGCAGCTGTTATTTAACGAGCATTATTAAAGATACAAAAGGTGCAACAGTTAAAATCCAAAGGCCACTATTAATATACACACCACACAAGCTTTCTGACTCTACTAAACAATAGTTCCTACCACCTATAAAAGGAGAAGGACAACAAAAGGACATCCTTCAAAGAAATCATATCCAAATAGTTTGTAGAATAAGTAAAATGCATAAAATTAAACAAGAGGCAAAATTCACACCTTCAGTGCTGGCTAAACACAAGCTAGCTGATCTGCTGGCACGACAAGGCACAAGAAAGACGGCTGCTTTTCCAAGAAAAATATCACGTTCCTCCTGGCTGTTCCTAACTTTCAGCGTGTGCTTTCTTAAAGCCAACTTACACACAAGACATGTAGGTGTTATTCTAGATGTCATCTTTACCTTTACTTCTAAACTAAGTATTAGGATACAACAGCAAAGTCATAAGAGTAGTTACCATTTAGTTTCTATGCCTCTGCTAGGTTCTTCTGCTTAAGGTGGCACCCAGGACAAGTTGTCCCCAGAAGTGCAATCATTACTACTGCTATTAGCTAAGTTTCCTCACTGCAATGCAGCAAACAATCTGGACTGAGTTAGAGCTTTGTTGCTAAGCCATACTGAAGCAGTAACTTCACAGCAATGATGAAATACAGAAATGTAAGGAGCAAAGTTGTATGCAAGTCCTTTGCAAAAGGACATGAACAGTATTTATGTTACACAGAGCACAAACAGATCAAGTCATTTGCCTTGCACTGTGCTGCAACCCTGTGACTGAACTCAAAACAGAAACTGTATCAAAGTTTGAACTTATTCAACAGATATGAGAGACAAGGGGCAGACTATCTGGCAACTGTTCACGCCAGGTTAAACACTGTCCCAGTAATCCAAAATAGACTATGTTTCCAATCACATTTGCAAAACAGAATTAGGGCAGGAAAGCTTTTCAAAAACACTCATAGAAAATACAAGAAGAAATGATAGTAAAAAAATGCAAACATTTTAGTCTGAGGAGCAGCTCAATCTTGTATAAGCAAACTAACAGTTAATATTACTGCAGTTCTTCTAAATATTAGCCAGTGTAATTAAAGATCTTGCATCAAAATGCAGGTTCAAAATCTTTCAGGTATCTGTTATCTATCTTAAAGCAAGATTGGTCTCCGAGAGGCAAAATGGAAATTCCGCATGAAAAAAGAGACAACCTTTGTCCACAAAAGCAGCTAGTTAGTAGGATGGGGTTTTGCTTTTTGTTTTATTATTTTCCTGTTCAGATTAACAGATGAGGTGGTTGAGTGATCTGGCCAAGGGTATTCCAGTGGGCAGCTCACTTAGGGTTAGTTTCCTTCTGCAGACTCTTTTAAGCTACACTGCTTAGTGTAAATTAACTACTAAGTCAAGTTCATAACTTTACACTTCATTCTAAAAGCACTCTGATATAAAACTACAAAGATGTTCACAGTGTCTCTACGATGGGGATGAATAGTTGCTATTGTGCTTTTAGACAAACAATCAGTCATTGCTTAGCTTCACTTTTTTGGGTGAGAAGTGTCTTTGTCTAGTGGTGGAAGAATCCTGGCATAATCTGGCATTCCTACAGCCAGTTGTAAACAGTTTACAAGTTATCCGAGCACTGCAGCTGGCTCAGGAGCAGGAAGACAAGTTTGCCTGTTTCAGAAAACACTGAAAGGCCTTTTCTAGTGGCAGTTATGATGGCTGTTTTCCGGTCATACTGGAGCATAAACACAGAATAACTGCCTTGGCATTCTTGCCTGTAGCTAGGCCAGTTCTCTGGGAGAAGCTAAAGGCTAAGATGTATTTAATACTTTATTCTTCATCTCACCCAAGCTGTGACTATACATTAAACAATACAGTTATAGGTCACCATTCTGTTCTACCACTGAAGTCCACATACAGCACTGCCTCTTGGTGCAGCCATGTTAATTAAAATGTTAATCATAGAATCACTTAGGTTGGAAAAGACCTTAAAGATCATCGAGTCCAACCACGACCTAACCATACCACCCTATCAACCCTCTGCTAAACCACGTCCCTGAGCACCACATCCAATAAATAATAAAGCAGAGAAAGCCCTGCCTTTTCCAGGAACTCAAGCCCAATGCACTGTTCCCACTGTTTGGAGTGCACTGTTTCTTCCTCCCCCACTCTCCTTTCATCCCTAAATTAAGATCAGTAGTTAAGCCCAACCTTTCCCTTCCCCCAAAGTAAAACTCTTAAAAGAAAAACAGTGCTGGAAGGAGGCAAAAAGCATGTGGAGCTGTGACTCAGCTGCAAGGAGTTCTCAGCAGTCAAGCACTCGCCAGAGCAGGGTCACATTCTCCCAAAACAGCACGTGTGTTCTTTCCACCTGGAACTCCATCATGCTAAAGTCACTGAGCAGAACAATATTGAGAGATTAACAGGAAAAATAACTGGGAAAAATCAATGCAAGTCTCAGAAATCTGCGATTCATTATTCACCTAAACAAAAAAGTAATGTTCTGTTACAAAAGACAGATGCACAAAGACTTCTCATGATTTATTTTTCATGTAACAATCACAACTGGCTGCTGTTGAGTATTTCTGGCAATTCTTCTAATATAGCTGCTAGAGATTTTGTGTTGCTTGGAAGTTGAAAAGCCAGATATTGTTTATGCTAAGAATTTTTTTGGATTAAAAAATTTCTGAAGAGGTCTTATCTTTGTGTAACTTCCTGTATATCAACAGCATTTTTGAAGCAATTAGAAGAGCTAGAACAAACCATCTTCCTACCCCTAAATGGTAAGCAAAGACTGGACAAAAAGTAACTGTATGTCAGTTCTGGTTTGAACTACTTCAAGTGACCTCAAGTTCTCTGGACTCGCAGTACTGAGCTTCAGCTGCTTAGTTTCAAATACAACATAACCTTCAGTGTCAAAGAAGAAAATCATTCTTTAGGCATTAAGCCTCATAAATATTTGCACTGATCTCAAGTAGCTGGAAAAAGCTCTTATTGATGGAAAGGCCCAGGAGATATGCTCTAATTGGTCTTTGTGTTAATCACATTAATAAGCAAGGACATTTTACTGTTTTGAAGGATACACTCATTTTATAACTTAAGCTGAAAATCCCAAATGTTTTTGATCAGATTTGATGAATTGTTTGTATAAGATGAGTTACACAGATTGGCATATGTTCCACTCCCATGTTTATACCCAACACACTTAGCTTTCCTATAGCTATGTAAAGAATTGCGTTGAGATCACAGACAGCAAGCTGCTAAACCTCACTGAAACAATTCCAAACTCCTGCTCACTTCACACCCCTCCCCGAGGGCCACGGTCCTTCATCACAATAATGAGGAGCTAAAGACCAGCTTTTGTTGCACAATAGCTAGAGACCTTCTTTTAAAATCAGAAGAAAAATAACCCAAATAGACATAGGCAGTGAGGGAGGCAGAGGACGCCCGTGTGATGAAACATAAAGGAAAAGAAAATAGGATCACAGAATGGGTTTGGGTTAGAATGGACCTTTAGAGACCATCTAGTCCAACCCTCGTGCTGTGGGCATGGGCAACCTGATCTCGTGGAGGATGTCCAAAGCCCTCTCCAACCTGACCTTGAACACTTCAGTGCCACAAGCATTTAAAAGCTACTTTGAAAGTGTGCTATAAGTAAAGCTTTCATCTATATGAAACTCAAATGGAGGTTAGGTGGCACTGAGCCAATTTTAGCCTCGTGTGACAACATTAACCTGCCAATACTGAATGGAAAATACAGACATAATTTAAAGGCAAATGCCAGCTTCAGATGCGTTAAAACCTTTCAGAATACATAGCAGAAATGGGGCTGATTTGGCAATAAACCATCATTTTTCTAATGACATTAACTTCATTAATCACATGCAACTACCATTTGTATACAAGAATACATAGCAAGGTAGTTTGGAAAAGAAGATCCAGCCAAGAACGTGTACTCTGATTTATTTACATACCATCACTTAAGAAGTGGTTTCAGTTTCTGTTAAACTATGTGGTAATGAGCTGCTGCACTGGAAAACAGGAAACAACACATTGGGGGAAGGAGGAAGATGCACTCCTTTTAAAGTGTATTTGTACACAGTTCTGGTTTTCATGGCAGCATTACTCAGCTGTGCTGGGTACACCAGTCCTAAGTGTGTTTCAACTAAACCAAAAAGCCCAGAAAAAAACCATGTTTCTGGGCTGATATGCTGTCTAAAATAAGAATTCAAGGTAGTATCCAAACTTCAAAAGGAACCAAGGCACACGTGTGATGTTATTCTAAAAGACATTGTTAGTTATTACATAAGTTCAGTGTAAGTGCACCTGCACAAGGCCTGACCTGGAACTATTTGGATGTGTCTGACTCGCTCTCCTGGGACCAAGAATTCTGGGGCACAACCCAGACAGCACAGCTGGCTCTCCTGTGAGAGAGATGGGGAACAAATCTTCCTATGCCTGGCACTGGTTGCAGATTGCTGTTAAGCAACTGTTAATTCTGACGCAGTACTCAGTGGATAGATAGCACTAAAAAAGTTGTTGAAGCAGCTTAAAACACATAGTACAATAAAAAGAATCCAAAGAAATGTTTTAAACACCACGCTTACTCAAGATTGTCTTACATTCCTGATGGAACTCCCAATTCCTCCCTGCTCCACCCTTCAGCTGGAAGGGTTTCTCTTCCCAGGCCTGCACCATTAGATGCATGACATTGCTGCTGCTTCTGTTATGGACAAGTATTGGGCATAACAAATAAAATGAGTAATTATTGCCCATACTTGAAACTTAACTTCAAATGTTCTATGAAGACACCGAATGATAGAAAAATTCCCTACTTTCTGTTACACTGGTGATAACAAGTAATGCCATGAATAAATGCCCAAATGACCCCGGCAATTTTAACAACATATAAGACAATTTATGTGAATCCTGTTGCACTGAAGTTGTGGATGAAAACAGGATTACATGCTGACTCTTAGTCTGGCTGTTTACAAAAGTAAATGTCAGTGCATCCCCTTGCACAGATATAATACCACTGAGAAGGGATTCCCTTCTTCAGCATCCCAATACACATCACCTGATCTAGCTCTCAGAAGACTAGAACAGTTCTTAAATCTTACCTGCCACTGGATTAATACTTCTAAATAAAATTACATCTAGTCTGAAATCTAGATGAAAGTTAACAATATAGAATCAAACTGGCTAATGACAGTTTATAAAGCTGGATTTATTGTTTCAGTACTTTTTGTGGTTAGTGAGACTTTTTAGACATTGTTAGCAATAGTAAAAAGGGAGAATTCAGAAGAGCTCAGGAACTGTTTTCATTTTAGTTTGTGTTGAAAACTATCGCATCCTCCAAAGAGGCATGATCCTTCTGGAGATTTTCTGCAGCTGTCAGTTATTGATAGCTTGTTCTAAGCACAATGCTGGATACAATCTGATGATGTAGAGCAGCTCTAGAAAGCCTTACTGCAACTTTATTTAAATTCAGTAGATCAAGACATATACAAAACAAGAGCACATCAGGCTTCCTGCACAGTGAGAGGCAAAACTTGAAGAACAATGTCAACTACAGTAGAATCTCTTCAAAGAGTCTCTTCTTCCCAAATATTTTAGGAATCAGTGTTATTATATGCAAGATAGACTGAGTTTGTTTAACCTGATTCTCCACAGAATAACACAACACCATCCTATACTCTCAAAACCTATCCATCTTAGCAAAAGCATTTCATCTACTACTTGTCACACTTAGAATGAGTAAATAGCTAACTGCTGACAGCTAGTCACGTACAGTCAACTTTCTCTTTTTATCTTATACTGACATTTGTCCTTGCTCTTTTGTGTGCAATTTCTAGATGACACAAATGAAAAGATTTGTGAAAACAAACAAAAACCCACCAACACCTTGTTTTAAAACCAGAATATTGGGATACCTGTTATCTGAACCTATAAGAACTACCAAATCCTTCTGATTAGGAGGCAGCAAACAACGTTGGCAACAGCCTTTGTGGGTCACCCCACAACAATTAGTTTATCCATTACACTGTGAGTTGTGCAAGGAAGTGTTCTGCACAAATTATTATGACACAGGAAAACCTAACTTCCTTGGGCAGTCTTATTTAAGTAATTACCCTTTTGAGAGATGTCAATCCTGTTAAGTTATTATCCAAGCAATGCCATGCAATACAATCATGAGGGCACATACATTCAAATAGTTATACCAACTACATTCTCTTTAAAAAATAATAATGGTCAACAGTATCTCTTGGTATATATATATACATACATTTATGAATTATAAGGAAAGTTAAGAAATCAAATTCCTTTCCTAGCAAGGCCAGAGGCCTGCTTGTAACACTAGGTACCTTTAATCCAGCCTCAACACACACAGCAATGAAATACCATATAAACCAGGATAAACATGAAGACTTGGAGGTCTATAGGTGGAAAATGCTACAAAAGGAACCAAATTTATTTTTTCAGTCGCAAGATCAAACATGCTCAGTTATTACAGCTGGTTGAATTCTTTTATGTATGGTTTAGTGAAAATTGTTTTAACCCATTCATGGGAACGTCTCCTTTGAAAGTTTGCTTGCACAGAGTAAGGACAGAGCCTGTTTCAAACCATTTCCCTCTGCTTCTACATTTATTGTTATGGAATACATTGAGTATTACTGCCTATAAATTTAACTAATAACCTTTTCTGTAGGGGAAAATTATTTGGCTAAAACGTTCTGTAGGCAAAACTAAGCAATGGAGAACTAGGAATAAATCATGAGCTTTGTTTAACACAACTATATCCTTTATTTTTCTAGCAGACCACAATGATTATTAAGCAAGTTATATAAGCATACTACTTACCTAACATTTCTTTCTTTAATTTTTCATTCCGCTCTTCAATTTGTCTAGGTAATCGCTGCAGAAAAGAAGACACAATTGGAATCAGATCCATGCTTTCAGTAATACTGTAGGTTAAGTGTATGTGACTTTCATGTACATACCCAAGATACATTGTTTATGGCTTTAAAAAAGTCCTCATGTCAAACCAACACTTTTATCCCACTGTGGAAACTTGTAATTCATCCTATGACATCAATTCATAGAAACACAGCAAGTTGTAACTTGTAAGTGCAGGTTTCACACAGGCACACATTTTTATGGCTGAACAAGGAATCTGATCTGCTTGCCTAGTATTTCAACTGAAGAGTTCAGGGAATTAAAGAGACCTAGAATTAAAGTACATTTTTGTCCTATCTCCTCTACCACAGACATTAAATATGGCTAGGAGAGACTAGACAAATTAAGGAAGCACTGTATTTACTTCTGAACACGAGTACAGGTCTAGTGGGGAAAAGCATCTGGAAAGTCAGTTTCAATTGGCAGACAGCTTCAGGGAAATGCATGCTGAAAATGTGAAGATCTCCTAGACAAAAGTATTTTATCAGAAGATCACTGAATTGCTGTATATGAACTTCAAGATACAGTTTAATGAGCAACACCTCATTATTCAATGTCGTCATATTTCTAATGAGGACCCCAATTCGATGATTCATCATGGAGAGAGCTTCCAACAAGTTCATCCTGAGCAAGGCGTCAGTCCAAGGACAGTCTGGTTTTTTTCCTCCTCAGAAATGGCACTAGTGTTAAAATCTGTGCACCATCACAGGTGAAAACCTTATCACATTCTAATAAGCATTACACAACAGCATAGTCTACGTATTCCCAGTGACCCGAGATTCCCATTTACACTTAAAACAGCTGTGGCTCGTTTTCCATCTCAAACAGCAGTGCTGTTTTGCTAACTGACTGTAAAGACCATTTTAAACTATAGTTTCATATTCACTACATTTACTATTGCATCAGTCGAAAACAGCTTAGATCACTTTGAAAGTAATGCCTCTCATTTATTTCCATAGAAACTACAATAGATCCAAAGAGCACAGTAACACTATTTGAGAGAGCAAATTCTCAGCTACAAAACATTATTTTTCATATAGTCACCATCAGTAACGAAGAAGAACCTGCATGCTGTGCTCATAAAAAGTCTGTGCCAGAAGAGGTGACCCACTGTTGAAATGCACCACCCATCACCTCACTGTGCTCACATTCACTGTTTGGCCTCTATCAACATTCACCAAGTTGTCAATGAATGTCACTCAGTGTACCATTTTCTCCCCGTGGAGAAATCCATTTCACACTGTGCTTCATACACACTTCCATGTCAGATGCCATTGTGTCAGAATGCCCCTCTGCTGCCATCTGTCACATGGCAACAAAATGGAATGGAATATCGGTGACAAGGTTCAACCTTTGCTTCCATACCACCAACATCCACCTCTGACACCACAGGGCAACATAATAAAATAGGAAACATCGCTTTTGAGCAGCCTTTGTATATTAAAAATATATATAAAAAGCAACTGTCATTCACACTGCATCTTCTTCATATTTTCAGAAGTTACTATTTCAAACTTACTACGCTTATTACTATACAACTCTGGCAGCTCAGGATCCAATTATATAGTCATGGCAAATAAGACAGATCTGCTGAAATGGTGCTATCAGTAAGTTAATTACAGTTGTAAACTATGGTAACACGTGTGGAATTCACTCCTTATGTACTTCCCTTGTGATAATTGGCTTCTGAACATAGTTAAAGAATTCAATTTCCTAATTTAGTTCCTTCCTGTATTTTATAGCTCCAATCATCATGGATGGGTTTGTCACTCTGATAACATTGTTACAGTGAAATAAGATATTCATGTCAAGGAAAAAAAAATATCTGCCTGGCTATTCCTCCTGTTCAAAACAGTATTGATTGGTGAACACAGGCACTTTCAACACTGATGGGGAAGAGAGGTGTTATACCCCATACAAACTGAAAAGTCAATATGAAAGAGTACAATGCACATACACAGAGGTGGCTAAGCCTGAAATGAGCTTAGGCCCAACATCACCACCAGTGAATCAGATCCAATTAGTGCAGTCAGACACCATCCAACTCCTGCTGACCCAGAGGGCCTTATTAACTTGGGTCTGGACCCAAGCTGCCTACATGAAAATGCGTGGATATCCCCAGGCTGTAAATTCAGTTTGCATTGTGGCTGTGACATTCTCTCTTCCTTTTGTCTATCTTACTAAGTAGTTTTATCTCAACCCACGAGTTCTACTTTGTTATTTTTTTTCCTGTTCTCTCCCCCATCCCACTGGCAATTGGAGGAGTGGGTGAATGACTTTGTGGCGCTCAACTACCTGCCATGTTAAACCACAACACATCTGCTCTATCTTGGATGAGTTTGGCTTACACAGAATCTATCTCTCATGTGGACATTAGCGTTCAGCATGAAATGAAGACCTAAATACTTGATCAGAAATATGTGTTCTGTGTTTTGTCTGCCTGAATAGTACTATTCCAAAGACTCAGCATTTCTCACTCCAGAGAAGTACACCTAAGGTTACTTATCTATAGAACGGTATCCATAAACCTGGCTATTCATCTTGGTCTGTGACACTTATCTCAAAGTACAGCTTCTTTTGGTAAGTAAGTTTATCTGGTCTGCCGCTCCCTCAGAAACTGCGCTGAAGCTCAAATTCACACAACATTGTTACACACCTTCTAAAAACAAAACCTAACGATTGATACCACATAAACACTCTCTGGGAAAGCATCGATAGGGATTATTTGACCACAAAACACTGTAATTTCAAACTGTTTCATTTGGCATAAATGATATCAAAGGCAACCAAAGTGTGCAACAGTGGGCTTTAAACCATGAGTGCTGTACTTCTGACATATAAGCCGTACTGAAATTTTACAGCAGCTAACAAATCAGGAACCTAAGCAAAGAATTACTGTGCATTTAACTTCTTTTAAACCCCCATTTAACAAGATTATTATATTCCCCACAGCAGTATGTGAAGTATTTCTTATACGCAGGAAGGAGAAAGATTGGCTCTAACAGGTGAACAAAGCTAATTTGCAGATTCTCCTGATGCATCATTTTCACTACCAGCAGAGGCACAGAAGTGCTGAACTAGTTCTGCAAAGAGCAGGGCACTTTACATCACAATAAAGCAGAATCTCTTAGTCCCTACATATTACAGATCTGCTAATTACATAGGTGGAGACAGCATTATATCTGGAACAACGTTTTTTATTATAAAATTTAGAGATCTATTACAACTATTTTAAAAAGCATAAAATTAGCCATGTCAGTATTTCATTAACAAATTTTCATGGGGGGGGGGGGGGGGGGGGGGAAGGCTTTAAAGCCTCAATCTCAAAATACTGCTTTTATTCTGAAGCTTGACCAACTGAAAAGCAAAATGCTGTAAACCACTCCAGTACAAACTCAGGGCATTTCATACAATGTATCCTGCACCACATGCGACCAGAAATCTGCCTACTAAAATGAGGTCGAGGAGCAGAATGTACACGAAACAGTCAAACTCTGTGCTTTCCAGCTACAAAAATTGTAAGTAAATGACCAGTCATTCTAAAACACTTCTGAAAGATGACCAGGAAGAACAGCAGCACTGTTTCTGATTCTTTCCTGGAACAAATCTCCACCAGATACTGAAAGAAAATTGTGGTTTTGAAAGAGACAGAAAGGATTGCATCTAAACTTTTAGGGGGTTCAGATCAGCTAAGATGTATGTTTCAAACTCCTTGTATTTTGTACCAATGACTGACTGCTCTCACATCTTCATCTATGGAATCCTTACTGGTGCTTTGTAACAATCTGTCAGATCTGCATAGCTGCTCTTTGTATGAAGAGCTGCTAAAACACGCTTGCACTGTTTTACCAAGTAACCAACTAGATTACATTAGGCCTTTCTTGGATCGAGGCTAATGCTAAAAGACTACAAGCTACAAAACTAAATCCCATCGTTTCCTTTAGAAACGTCAGCAGATTCCTTGGCTGAACTCCTGGATCAAATAAGCCATAGTCTCAGCTAGGAGACTATAAACATGGCCAACACAAATACTCTTTTCTCGACTATGATGGATGCATCACGTTCACTGCCCCTGCAGTAACGATGTTTGACAAGCCTGTCATTTATTAAGCCATTGCCAAGAGCTAGGTGATAAAACGCTCTCCTGCTCTCAGCTGCACGCAACAAGCATCAGGGGGTTTCACAGTACAGTAAACTGACCTTGTCACTGGGTGCTGCCAGAAATGACCGGCCCAGTTCCTGCACTGCCTTGACCACATCTTTCCTTCTCACCAGTAACTGCAGCAGGACTCCTCTGAGTGCAGAAGGCAATATAAAGCTGCTCCTTCAGGGCTTTTTGGTTGCTGGCTTTTTTTTTTTTTTTTGCTCACTTATAGATGCTTTTCCTTCTGGCCAGGTTAGTTGCCTGCCTGAGCCCCATGTATATATACATATATATCACCAGCCATCTCCACAGGGTCAGTCATGGACTCGTACCAGCATAAGCATGAGGAAAGCAACTGGACAGCTTTCTAAGCAGCAGGCAGTTCAACACTTCAGCTGCTTTGTGAAATCTTACCCTTACCACTAATGGGAGTTACACAGTTAAGCAGAGTACTTTTCTGCCATCAGTGCAATTGATCTAGTCCCAAAGGAAGTAATTTCAGGCAAGGCTTCTTGTCTAATATGCTATTAAAGCACTTCCTAATGTGTCATTACAACACCACGGTATGGGGGAGGGGAATTTAAAAAAAAAAATCACTACTAATACCTTATTTTCACAAATAGGAAATTAAAATAATTAAACCCAAACCTTGAAAACATATTTCTGCACCAACGTATAGATAGTGGCTTTTACACAAAATTTCTGGAGTAAACTTTTTTCCTTTATGGGGCAGAGTAGGTTGCAGTTTCACTGATATGAAGCTGAACACAGAAAACTGATGCCCTCTGAAAATTTAACAAGCTATTAAAAGTCAAGTATGTCATATAGATTCAAGTGCCCAACCAAGCATTATATTTAAAAATCCATTTATAGTAAAATGGAATTAAGTTGTTGCTTTCCCTATGCAAGGTAGTTAGCTCTTTCCAGGCACTCTGGTGCTCACAAGCCATTCACACACCATGGCATGAAGCTCCAGCTCTGACATAACTGGTGGTCACTTTCTATTTGATAGCAGCTACCCTTCATTTGCATGCATTCTTTCAAAGCCACAGACTGTCTCTCTATCTACCACATTTTTCCTTTCAACAGCCTTCATAACCTCTTTCAGAAATAGCAAGGGCAAGCAGCCTACAGGAAGAGCTTTCTGCACAAAAACAGCCCTTCGTGCTACACCAACCTTTGTGAAAAGACCCTTTGAAATTGTCCAACTGACAGCAGGTTTCCATGCTAAGCATTAACATATTGAACATTCACCAGAAAAAACACTTTCTGCTTGTATTTGACAGTTACAAACTCAAATGAACTGGCTGTAGCAGTGACTTTATATCCTCACTGAGTAGAGGTTATTTACATGATAGACTGGGCATCGTGAAGTGTTAGGAGTTTTCCTTTGTTAACAAAGCTGCCACATCCTGAAGTCCAAGCAAACCTGAAAGAACTTAATTTTTGTAATTATTATTATTTGAGCGATATGACAAAATTTCCTCAAGAAACCATTAACCCTTAAGTATTTATAATGTTCAGTGACAGCAGACATGGGAACACAGTGCTAAGCCGAAGAACTCACGTTATTTGGGAACAAGAAAAATAATTTAATTAGAAAAGAGTGACGCAACTACCAGGTGCCTTTTTTATGAGAAAGGCTAAGTTTTTAAAAATTAATAGCAGGCTTAAGTCATTATTAGTAAAATATCTCAAAATAGCCAATACACACAAGGTATATGTTAAAAACCTGCAACAAACACCAAAACCAGAACACAGCAAAATCAAGAAGCCAAATACCAGTGTTTAAGTAGACTTATGTTTAAGTAGACTTGCAGATAACTCAAACAGCCTCTATCTGCTGTTCACTTAAATAATAAAGTAATCAAAAAAGTATCTATTTCTATGCCAAGAAAGCATTTAACTGCAAACTCATCAGTTACCAGAATAATTATACTGAAAGAAAAATAGATTCCCACTAATTTATTAACAAGCAAAAACTTTATTATTGAGTATTTGTATTCCGACTTTAAGAATAATAGTCAGAATACAATTAAGGTTTTGTTTTTTGGGTTTTTTTGTTTGTTTGTTTGTTTTTAGAATAAGAGCAGAGAAGCACTGCACAGGCTGCCCAGAAGTGGTGGGTGCCCCATCCCTGCAGACACTCAAGGTCAGGCTGCAGGGGCTCTGAGCCCTGATGGAGCTGTGGTGTCCGTGTTCATTGCAGGAGAGTTACACCAGATGGCCTTTAGTGGTTTCTTCCAATTCAAATGATTCTATGATTTCCAAATTGCTGATCCATATTGAAGTGCTGGCTACTAAAATGCTGCAGTGATTCACCACAGCAGTCAGTGCTGTCCTGTTTGTGGCCTAGCCAACCTTTCCTAGCCCATGTATAAATACAGTTAACAACCTCAGTCAGGAATTCAAAGTTTGTAGTAAGTGTATTGTCATGTTACTTAGACGAGTATTTTTGAAACATTACTGCATTCAGTTACAAGATATCCCTCAGGGAGAATCAAACTAGAAGAAAAGTGAGAACTGTAATATATTCAGTGACAAACTGTGTAAGGAAGAACTTCTTCACTGTCAGTGATGGAGCAGTGGAACAAGCTGCCCAGAGAGGCTGTAGAGTCTCCTTCTCTGGAGATATTCAAGACCCACCTGGAGGCATTCCTGCGTGACCTGCTGTAGGGAACTTGCTTTAGCAGGATTGGATTCAGTCATCTCTAGATCCCTTCCAACTCCCACAACTCTGTGATTTTTGTGTGTGCATTGTGTAGGGCATGGGGTATGCTATCCAACAGGCACAAATACAGCTTGCAGCTCAAAACACACATCTACCTTCAATCATTTTACAAACGTTAGAAAAAAACACCTATGCTTAGCAGGACTCAGGTCCATAATGGAAGTTGTAGCATTTCATGTCTTCTATCCTATGTAAAACTGGAAGAGAACACTACATTTAAGACTCAAAGTTATTGGTACATGAAGCAGCTCGCATTGAGAGTACTGAATATTTAGACTAGGAAAGGAAAGTCTTCATTTTGAAGTTGAGCCAAAGTATACTGAAAAGGCTTACCATACAAGCTTCTCTGGCTTGATGAACTGATGGGTCTTTTTCTAGGATTGCTTTATAATCTTCCAGAGCTTCATCTAGTTTTTCTGTTTTTTCATATAGTTCTGCTCTTCTCAGCAAAGCTCTAATATAGTTAGGATCTAATTCCACTGCTGGAAAACAAAAACGAAGCACAGCATTTTACTTGAAACATTTCTACAGCTCCTACAAATAATTCTTAAGTGTGTACTAATTTTTTTAATATCAATAGTTATTTTTAGGACTAAAAGTTAGGACTAAATCCTAAACTTACAATTCACAGGCTGCTGTTGATTTCTCAAGAATTTATTCACCCATTTTTCATCACAGTAAAAGCAAGTACAAAATCTTGCCTAAATTTTTAATTGCCAACCCATTAAAATTATTTTCAGGATAACTAAAACTCAGATTAGGCAAGTATTCTATAGCTTATTCCTTCTGGAAGGACAAAGACAATACTACAGTCAGCATGTTGCAGAGTGAATTGCTCTGCTGTGCTGCAGGTGTTGCATTGCAGCTTGTAAGCCAAGTCCCTGGGGAGCATCAGGCGATGGTTGGTTTAAGTCTCACTGCAGCAAAACATACCAGTCCTCTATAAGCCACCACAAAATTATCAGAAATGTTTTTGAAAATGCACCCCTGCCAAAATGCAAAACCCCAGAGTAAGAGAGGTCAGCTAGAATTTGTTACCTTCAAGGTTACTTTTAAAACATACAAACTCCTATTTACTGTACAAGCAGTACTGGCACTCAGCCACTGGATTAGTTTTCGGACTGGTAATTCGGACATTCTTCCCCAGCTATCATGGGGAGTTTAACAAATATTCGAGCATGGGTGAGTGGGTGGAAGCAATAAAGCAACACACAGCTGAAACGATTGCACTAGAAGTTGCAGAGATAAAACTATGCAGGACAAAAATGGGAAAGCATAAGCCCTTGTGACAAAGCAAAAGCCATGCATAAAAGGGAACTGATAATGCTTTTTATTGTATGAGGCCCCACAGCTCTTTGGAGCCTGGGATTAAACCAAGGTTTGAGGGGAACGGCAGGTGGAAGTGGGTTTATAAAAGTAAGTATAACAGCTTCTACAATAAAAAAATGCTTTCTTAATAAAAAAAAAAAAAAAGTACAAACAACAGTCTTGTTGGCACAAAAGAATATAAAGTAAATTATTACAGATAGTAAGTTTCATTCACATTTCACAAAACAAGTAATTCTAGATTGAGATGCTTTCCACTACAGTTTTTCTCTGAATTATTTCAAGACTGCTGTGCCCAAAGTCATAGCACTGTTGTAAAGCACTAATTGGTGTCATTTACTCATCAAAAATCTAGCACAAGAGCAAAACACAGGAAAGAAAGTCATACCTTTGCTGCAGTCATTTAGGGCAGCTTCTGTCTTGTCCTAGAACACAGAATAGTTTTGTTATAGTTAAACTGTATTTCTTGGGAAACAGATTACTTACAATTGCAAGCAAGAAGGGTTGTCTGGAATTCCAAGGAACTGGGATGCTCATGTAATCAAGGCTTTTCATACCATTGCTTCTGATTTAAAGCTCTTTACCAGTGATTAGCTTTCTCTCTGCAAAGACTGCCAGCCTTCCAATTGCACGCTGCCCCACTAATCAGTCTGCACAGAGCAGCCAGCAGCAAGCTACAGTCAAAAGGCTGAGTCACATCTGCAGGCCTTAGCTTAACTGAGCTACAGCTTTTGTACGTATGTCAATTAAGTAAGAGTTTGGAACTGACTGTTCCCAGACTCCCAGATAAATTCTTGTCTGTACAAGCTGAGACATTTGGAAAGCAGATATTCCTTTAGGACTCATATAACTTCCTCTACCAGGGAAAATGCTCGAGTCTGCCAGAAGCAGTAAGGACAAGATTTTAGTGTGCCCAGACAGCCAAGTTAGGAGAGTCAAGCAATCTGCTTATAATGGAGAAAAAGAAAAAAAAGGAAGAAGACTGAGACAAAGAACCTATTTTCATCTAAACTAAAAGGCCTTCAAGAAAACAAGGCTGCTCATTGCTATTTTCAGAGTAAAGTATTGGTGTGGGAGGTTCCACTCATCTGGACAGGTGAGGTTTTTAGTCTGTGGATAGTTCTTTCATCATCTTGCGATTGTTTGGAAATTATTAGATTAGTTTTCTAGTTAACACCTGGATTATGAGGATGTTTTTCAGTTTACAGCTTTTGTATTTGAAAGATTCCAGCACCTGCTACTACTGAATTCCATTTTTAACTTGTCTGGCCAAATAATTTAGTATCCCAAAAGCAAGTTAGATAATTCTGTCTGAGCAATGATTTATTTATACTTAAATATGGCTGCAAGGTACATTCCCAAACAGAGCTCCATCTGCCTCAAAATTAAAGAGAGCTGCAAGACAAGAAGATTATAGGAGTTACTATTCTACTTTTCCAGAACCACTCAATCTTAAAACAAAAGTAGGGAGTAATTTCTCTTGAATTTTCACTTCCACTTATTTAGAAAGAAAAGGTAATTTAGCATGTTTATAGCCTGAAGAGACCTACTTCTTTAAGTACAATAATAACCATTGTAGAAAAGCCACACAAATATCTCAGACAACTAAATTTAGACGCTGAACAGTCCTGTGAGCCAGAAAAGTGTTACCAAATACTTGCTGATAGGTCCTTCTAGCTCCCTTTGCAGTCCCATGCAGTAGCATGTCCACAGACTGTATTAACTCAAACTGGCATAATGGTTCTCCTCCCATTCTTCCAGTTGTACGGCAGTCCAACAGCTTGTTTATAAAGATGAAATCTTCACTTACATGAAGAACCTCTAACTGTTATTCTTTAAAATCAATTATCAGCTTAAAAAGTAAATTGTTTAGTTTCTGTTCAGACAGAGTGGTTCCTAGGGCTTCTATTCTGCCTACAGTGAATACAGATTCCGGGAACAAGTGGGCACCTGTCCCTGGGTAAGGAATAGAAAAGACATGAAGAAAGCTGCAGCCATTCTCTTCAGACACTGCCCTGCTACGTAGATCTATGCTATAATACAGCAACTACGAAGGAAGAACACACACTGAATTAGTAGTTAGAAGTTCTGCTTATGCCTTAAAGCATCTGAACAAATTATTTTACAAGACTACTCAGGTTTTTAGAAAAAATACTAACTAGCCACGCTTCTGAACAATCTAACACATGGTCTGTATATGCTAAGCATGCTTAAAGACATCTGTTCCACATGAACTTTGAATTTGTTTAAAGGAGAATAAAAACCAATCAGTGTTTAAAATATAATGTCAAGAGAAACTCTGAACAGTTCCAACTGCAACTTTCAGTTTTGAATTAACCCTCAGTAAAACCAAACATGCTAGCATTCCTACTGGGAGCTTGAGAGAATACACAAGCAGCAAAGCCTGCGAATGCAGCAATTCCTTTCCCTTGTTACAGATCCTTAGTGACTTCATAATTTCACGTGGCATACAATCAATACTAATCATTTTATAAAATAAAAAAGATATTCACCTGTTTCATTTTTGCAGCAGCTCTGTTTGAAAACAAAACAGCCCTATCTTTTTGGAAGCAGGCTGGACAAATTTGCAGAGCCTTTGTGTAAGAGTCTTCTGCCTCTCTGTACTCTGTAGATGCAAGAGGGGAAAAAAATAACAAGAAAGCAACAGATCATTTATTTCAAATGCCAGTATGGTCAACGAATTACATGACTATGATTTCTTTGGAAACATTTCTCAATATATGATGCAATATTAAACCAGTGGTCAGAAGCAGTAGCTGCTCTATGACAAAGTACATGACTGACTACCATCCACATAAATGACAATCAATTAATTTAAAATCAGCAGCCTCATGGGAGCAGAAAAATAGACTTGTGCTTAGTATAATGAGTACAGCATGCTGTGCATGCAGGTCTCACCCCTGAAGCTGTTTTGTCCTATTTGTTGAGAGGGTACCATCAGCCTCAGAGGTTGAATCTTTCCAGAAATGTATCCTTGCCCTGAAAGGAACACCTGCTGGACATGGTGTTCTGCCAGTAACTGCTCTCAGCTGCTTGGGAGATAACTGCCCCAACTTCCTCAATGACTGACTTACAGGTCTGTCACCATAAACCACTGACACCCAATGGCCATCCATCATCAAATCCGGTCTAAAGGAAAGATCAGTGATTAAGCACATTTTATTTCTTTCCAATAGTGGTAGAAAGAAGTAATGGAAAGGTCTTGTATTGACTGTGAGCAACAGCCTACTAGCTGATAAATGCATTCTCCTCGAAGCAGAGCAATCACTTCTGTCCACATTAACCAGTGATCAACTAAGTGCTTAAAAGTTTATTTCTGGTCAGTAAGCAATTTGACAGCCATCAGCAGCACAAGCACACTGAACAGATCCAACAAAGAATCTGTCAAGAGACAGCTATGGATAAGATCTCACAAGAAAGCTGAGCCAATATTACAGGCTTGCTACTTCCATGGTTCCACCAGCCCCCTTCTGCCTGCTCTGGCACTTGCCTGAATTGGTAAACCATTACCCAGCAATCTTGCTTTCTCAACACACAATAAAAGACCTCCAACAGGAAGACCACTATCTGATCATAGGAGTATACCCTGGGAAATGGAGGTTACCTGTTTGTGTCCCCGCTGACTGAGAGAACCATTAATCTCCATTTCCTGGTTTCTTTGTGAAACCTCTAACCTTCAGAATGAAAGGTGGGTGTCAAAAATCATTTTCCCCTTCATACATTTTACCAAATATTGCTGGTGGTATTACTTACTGCTCACCTCAACTCTGCTGCTACAGATTAACTACGTTCACAAACATCCAGTTTCAGTGTAAGTCAGAAATTCACACACACCTAGATCTTTTTCACTGTAGAGGTCTCTGTGTGCATGCATGGTTGTGTACAGCTATATAAAAGTGCATATCTCTGTGCATACACAAAAACAGAAGTGTGTATATTCATACATAGAGAGATGCACATCAGTGTACACAATGTATGTATAAATAAGTATAAAAATGCCTACACAATTACAGCACATACATGAAGGACTGAGCCAGTGGATAAAAAGACACATACAAACATACAAAGCTATGAGAGAATTACTGAGCCGCTGAGCCATCATCAATTCTAAGCAATTGCATTAGCAATACTCAGGACTGGTGGAAGCCTTTTTTGATTCTCAGAAAAAGCCTTGGCACTCGGAAGGCAGTCAGTTTTGTATCGTGTTCTTGGATTTAAACTCAACATTCATGACAATCCTGCTCTAGAGATCCAAGTCTTTGTGATTTGAACTTAACTCTTAAGGAAGTCTGCTATCTCTTTCTGTTCTCTAGGGCTGGGTGAAGAAAAGATAAAGATGATAAAGCTGAAAAATAATAAATGCAAGATTTTCCTACGAGTTTCCTGCAATATCACTATGATGGCTAAATACTAATCTAACATTCACCAATTTCCATACAATATTCAAAGATTATCAACGCACCTCCTTTCTTGAACTGTTCATTTCCTTTCTCCTTTAGCGTTGTGCTTTCCTTTCTTCTTTTCTACAAAAGAAGAGACGTCTCAAAGTATTTAACTGAAATGAACAAGTAGGTCAGCTGTATTTCCAAATAAACTATGAATGAAAATCAAAATAAAACACAATCTGAAGAATTTTAGCTTGTGCCAAGATCCCTTGCTTACATCTACTGTGAGATGATAGACTTCATAATCCATAAAACACTGCAGTACAGCAACAAGGCAGTCAGAAAGCCCCAGTTTGTGAACATTATGCACCAAGACCACTCATAATGAATTATACGGTTTAAACTAGCATGTTAGTCTCTTAGCTGTTTGCTTGCTTCTTAATTCCTTACCAATTCAACTGGTGTAGCTCTACATCTAAAATGCATTCTATATAGTCAAGTCTCAAAAGTTTTGTTTGAAATAATTCCACCTCAGAAATCCATAGTTACTTTCAGAAACATGCAAAGCATTTTCAGCTCACTGAATTAGAAACAGGTCTGTGCATAATACCTCTCTGAAAGATTTCTTATGCAGAGTGAATAAACCATCAGACCCTGAGACAGGAAGATTGTTCTGTTATACAGTGAAAATTGCACACGCTGAGCTGAGTTGTGTTCTCATCCATGAATATCTTAACAGTACTCTTGGCACAGGCAGAGTTGACATGAATGTTCTTAGCCTCTGACACTGAAAACACAGGATGTCATCAAGCCATCTCTGAAATGTATTTATAAAGGCAGGCTTCCACACGCAGGCATACCTCACAGAAGTAAAGACAAAAGGCTTGTAAGAAAGACAATGCTAACAAGTGCAATGCTCACATTTGTGAATCACTTCCATAGTAAAAAAAGAACAAAGACAATTTGGTCCCCGATTTGCCCCTAACATGCAGGCACAAGGGACTCAAATCAAGGCGTTCAGAAATTACAGATCACCGAGCAATTAAAAAGCCAACGCTAGGAAAGGAACAGTTTCCCACAGATTGTGTAAATCAAGGATTAATGCAATTATCAATATCGCACAGAACATCTCCTTGGAAACAGCTAAATATAGTACTCTGTGGAGCACTGCACCATCTCACAGCTATGCCAAGTAACTGACAAACAATGCAAAATCAGAGGTTCTCTCCTCTCACCCTTATTGCTTTTGGATGATCATTCACCAACCACTGTTACCATGCCAGTAAAACAGACCACAGCGCTCTGAGGGAAATGCCACTCAGCAGTCGCACACAAAACCACCCAGCAAAGTCTCACCTGAGCCCATGGGTACACAACTACACCAGTAACATTTTTCCTATTGCCTATTAAAAACAATGTCTCAGACTGATTGATCTTTACATTGGGAAAAAAAAAAAAAAGCAGATGAGATGTATATCATTATTTAGAAATCAGCTTTCCTTCAGGGTTCTCTGCCAAACCTACACAAGTCCTTCTGCAGTGTGATTAGCACCAAGGCAAACGAGCCAGTGAGTGCCTTTTAAATATGAGTGTAGGAACAAATTTGAGAGATTAAGGCACAAACAGCATTAAAAGCGTGCATTCTTTGTGTACATGTGGGATTCTACAATTCAGCCCAAGGAACACATAGCCACATTTGAAAGCTGCACCCTGACTTTGGAAGCACTCATCACTGCTGCTCACACAGCAGCTCCACAATAATACATTTTAAAATCACCTTATAGATGTCATTTGCACAGTAGTGAACCAAGAAGTATCATCAAATCACCAAGGATGGAAGAGACCTCCAAGAACAAGTAGCCAAATTTCAGCACAGAATTGGCTTAGGTTTAGAAAAGATGATCTTACTGGGAAAGATAAAAGATCTACATGAATAAACCTTATCCAAGATAAGAAATGCCTGAAACACAAGCCCTGTTGACTTCATTGCTCGTGACCTATTTAGAACTGGCCTTTAAGTGCTATTAACTGATTCAATGTTGCAAAAGATAGACTTGTGTGCAATGTAACAAAAAATTCTCCCCCCATAAAATGGTTGCGGTATTCCCGATGCAGAAACCCTGAAAAAGAAGGAATATCAGATGAAGATCTTTACTTGCATTAGCATTTTATTAAAAGTATTACAAAAGAGTATATGCTTATCCCAGTCAAATATCAAAAACTAATATAAAAATTCACTCAAAGCGAGAAAACTTCAAGAGAATAACTTTTATAATCTTTAAAAAAAGAAAAGGAAAAAATTTATATCACTAAATTTTTGAACTATGGGCTCCCTTGTTACTTAGCAAAGAGGACTGCGAGCTGGTTTCAACAGCAAAGAGGACTGAGGTGTCTGTACAACCCACATTTGCTGGGGAAACATGGTCAGACGAAAGTTCTGAGCAGCTGAGGAGCTAAGGGCTGTCACACTGCGATGCGATCGTTCACACAGCTCTCCTCCTCTGAAAGCCTGTTCTTGGACAGGTCCTCTTGGTCACTCACAATCTTGAAGGAATGAGGAAGACTATTATTCACCCCGCTGTTCTAGACATATGAGTGTCAGTGAGAGACTTGCAGTGACTTCAGACTATTTGACCAGAAAAAGTGTTGTGTAAGCATGTTTCAAAAGCATTGGTAAGAATACCTTATATGGCCCTGTAGCTTACTCAGCTCCCTGGAAAGCAGCTATAAAAGCAACGCAATTCTGGTTCAAAACCAGGATTTCTGTTACAGCTTCACCAATGTTTTCATATCCCCATGTTCACAGGTTTCAGGCTGTCACTTAACTGCACTTTTCAGAAAGGCAAGACTCAGGGGTACCTCGTGCATCGTTCTGTATTTGCATTCAAAGTGTGACCCGTTGGTGATGCATGATAGCAGATTATCATCCCCTACAAGTAAATCCCTCTGGCTTTCTCACAAAATGCTAATGCATACATGTCAGTATATCCCATCCTAAATGCACTAACGTCTGCTACGGATATTCTACGGATAACGGATATTCTCTATCTGTGAAATAAACACAATTTGTTCCTGCACATACATGCATTTCTGCAATAGAAAGTCCTAATACCAAAGCAGCAGAAAGACGACTCTTCTGGATTAACACCAACTTAATCTGAAAGGCCTGCTGTACCATGCACTGCTCCGATACTGTTACAATCTTCTGCACAAACTTAGGTTTAAAAAAGGACTATTAGAAGACAAAACCTCTTCACTCAGCAACCTGAATTTCCAGCTTCAATGAACTGGTCATCAGTTAATGGCAATCACATCAGACCAGAGATCAAAAATTGCAAGTGACTTGTCCTTGGGACAAATTTTGCACTATGTCATTTCAGTGTCCCCACCCACTCAGTTTTCAGAGCAAGACTGAGGTTGCTACAGGGCAGGCTACCCCTCCTCAGCGAAGGAAGTAGGTCAGCCCAAACTCCTGGAATGCTTTGCCTAGAGAGGAAATATCCTGACCCACCATGCACCCTAGGGCTGCTCACATGAGAGGGTAGGGCAAAGTCACAACTTCCCAACTTACATTCTCTTATGATCTCCTGCTAGTCAAAATAGATGAAAATCTGCCATTTGTTTTCTTGCAAGATTTCTTAATAAGATGATCACAAATTCCAAGCAGCAAGCATCAGTTTTTTATATACACAGAAGAAGAAAAAACAAAAACAAAAAAAAACCACCAACATACAACTGGGGGAAATAACTACAATTAACTAGAAATATTATTCTTAAAGGATCTGATTAGAAAAGTTTCCAGATTTGGATACTGAATTAGAATTGTCCACATTTGAACAAATTAAGATCTTAACACTTGCCTGGCGCGTAAGAGGTGCTGAGAATGAAGGCCTGATGTGAAGTAACAAGACAAGACAGCTTGGCCTTCTGACAATGAAGTACAACAATTCAAAAGAAAAACCATCAGATACAGTCCTTGGACCTCAGCTACTCCGCCAAGAAGCTTGCAGTTAAAAATAAAATCATTAAAGTTTTATTCTAGTACTAGAGAAGGCAGCAACCTACACATTTTTTGCTGTTTATTTTGGAAGGAACCAATATAATAGAAGTGTTGGAAGCAGAATACCTAAATATAGCTGTGAGAGCTGGAGGCTGAATACCTTCCTTTTGTAATGCTTCCAACCACGTTTCCTTTGGCTGTTCCTATGCATTTTATTTGATCAATTGATTTAACTTTGCAAGGGAACTGTTCTTGGCTCCAGTTTTGTGAAGAGCAGCAAATATACTTCCTTCGCTGCACGGCTATTTATACAGTGTGACAGAGCACATCTGCATCTCATATACCCTTCTGTAAGGTCACCCAGTAGCAGTCATTTAAAATCACCAGGATTCGAAGGGTGCACAAAAGCAAGCAATTTGAACAGATAAGGAACACACTTCTGAGCTTCAAATACCAATTCTGTTTGTAAGCCATCTGTGGTTAGTCATCTGCTTCCCCCTGCAGTTTTGTGAAGCTGTTGCTGTATCACACGTTCAAGGATCTGAACTTTGCTTTATGGTTGTATGGTGCTCACTGTAACTTCATGCTAAAGATGGATTTAGTCTTTCTGCTGCCAGTCACCACCTTTTCCTGAAATTGTAAGCAGCACTTCCACAAACAATAGGTCACATCCATCCCAGGCAGTCAGTTTAAGTTAGCATGCCAGACTGAAAGCAGTGACTACCCCTGAGTGACAATACACGCCACCCAGTCACTTCTGCTCAAGGAGGCAAAAGCCTCGGGCAGAAAAGTGGAGCTGACCACTTAATCCATCAGCACACAAGTCAAAATATTTAGTCACATACAAGCCTTTCACTTCCGTAAACCAAAGGTCTGAGTTTGACAGTATCTGCATCTTCCAGAAAAATGCATATCTAACATAAGCATAAAAACACTGCAAGAAAAACGAAGGTATAATTTTTCACTCTACGAAATTGCCATCCAGCAATTAAGTTTATAAATGCAGCTGGGACTATAAATCACACATGGAGACTCTAACTCCAGACATCATACAGGTTCTTTTCACCAGCACTTAGAATTAATTACTGCAGCAGATACCGATATACTTTTCAGATGTGCTTTGATTAACTCAGAAAAT